AGAACCATTCCATAATTAAATCAGAATAATAAAAAAATTAATATTCAGATCATACGCCCCATTACTTAGAACCGATTTCTCAAAAGATGGTAAACTTGCGCAAATCGGGTAGAACAATTTATGCTCATTTGTGCAAGTTCAAATCTGATCCATATTTGGTTCAAGACTTGAAACTAGCTCTAATACCACTAAAGGGATGGGAGATCCATCATATGGATGTTCGAATCATGCAAGGTGGTTGGGCGAAATTTCAAAAATTTCTTTCTCCCATTCGGGAATCCTATTCCCTGATTTATAAGAACTGCATTTTTCAAGGGTCGTTCTTGAAACAAACCAGACAAAATCTGAAATTAAGATTAGGGAAAGGAATACCTGATACGAAATCTACGCAAAAAGCTCCTCCCAACATAGGTGAATAGACACAGCTTAGGGAAAAGAATACCTTATTTTGTATGTATTTATGCTGTACATATTTGCATTTATCTAATGTTTTGAATGGAGAATGGACTTTTAAGTTTTATTTGTATATGTTTTGATTTTTGTATTTAATTTCAATTTGGATTAATGAAGAGAAAATAGGTTATTTGAAGCAAACTAAAACTTTACTTAATAATCAAATATAATTACAGGTTATTTGTAACAAATTTTAGGTTATTTTGGCATGTGGAAAAAGATGATCACGATTATCATCGCTAATTCTCTCTAATCATCTTTAGTGGCAGTCAGTGCATCCCTTTAGCTAAAGATTTAACTAAGTTGTATTTAGCAACAGTTTGTTCGAGTTTTACCAACAAGCACTAGAACTGCCACTAGAAGTTTTAGTGACAATTATTTTAGCAGCAATTTTCTGGTTGCCAGTAAAACTTTTAGCAGTAGTCCTTCTTTTCTATAGTGTCTCTAAACCAAACCAAACTGGACCATAAATACCCCTACCAAGGATTTGAAACTGAATCATACCTAGTAACATATTAGGTAGCGTCAGTTCGAGGTAAGTTTCATTCACTTCTGAGTAAATGTGAGTTCATTATAAATGGATCAGGTTCAATCCAATCCAATGAATATTTTGGATCATTATACACCAATCCAATTCAATGTTTGGACTGTCCAATTTGTTTAAATTTATTTTGATTTAGATTGGTTTCAATCCAAATCTAATCCATTGACACCTATATTCTTATCTTGTATCAGTGGATAAGAAATTGGCTTAATCCAACCCAATCCAATATAAATTTATAACGGATTGACCGGGTCCAATCCAATCTAATAAATATTTTGGACCAAATTGATCCAATCTAATATGTCTTATTGGTCCGTCCAATTCGTCCAAATTGATTTTGGACTGAACAGGGTCCAATCCAAAACTAGTCCATTGACACCCTTATTCCTAATCATCTCGAGATGAGAGAATTGTTTCTCCTTTAACTCCACCATCTCTCTATTCTTTCTTACCCCTCTTCCCAAGGATAGAGGAATCTAGTGGCCTTCCCCTAATTGTCATTTTGCTATTAACCCCGTCTCCCCTACAAAAAAATTTTAGCTTGTTCCACCGAGAGTTTGTTTCTTTGTGTGGGAGATTTCTTGTGGACAGAATTTTAAGAAAAAGGAAGGGACGCTTGTATATCGCTCCTCATGTTTGTACGATGTATTTGAAGGATGGGGAATCCTATAACCATTTTCTTATTAATTGTAAGGTATCTCACGATTCACATCCTTTGGCAATATTTCCTTGATGCCCTCTTTAATAGCAGCTTCTACCCCCTCCCCCCGAATTTAGTGATTGATTTTCTTATCAATGGCTAGGGTGTAAAATGGGTAAATGAAGTTCTCTTTATGGTAAGTAGTCATCCATGCCATGTGGTGGTATATTTGGGAGCAGCATACCAAAATCTTTTTTGAAGACTAGGTCTTTAGAAGATTTAATTAGGAAAACTACTTCTTGAGTCAATTCTTGGATGTTAGCCACAAAGCAATTTTAATTTTGAGACATCTCTTTATGAGATTAAGAAAGAAACTTGGGGCAAGTTCAGAGTTCTTCAATGGCTGCTGCTAACATTGTTAACCCAGCTCAAAGTTCCCATTTGGAGAACATTCTTCAAATTGATGGTACTTGTGTTAGTTTGTCTTCTCACAGGGGTCAAGAAAGTGTTGGACTTTAATCTCTCAATAAGATTAAAATCCAAATGGGGTTTGATTGATAAAATTTATTGAAAACTGGTTTTAAAATTCCCGATAAAATTATACTTTAACTTGTTTTCTCTTCTTTCAAGCCTTGTCCCACATTGAAAGATTACTGAAACTGATTTGAGCTTTTAAGTAGGAGCTTGTATATACTCCTTCAAGTTATAGATACGAGAGTATAGAGGCTTACTACCGCACAACACACACGTGCATATGTGCGGCATTATGAGATGCACTTTGCTCTTACTCTCGCGAGAGTTGACTATATTTTTAGTGCGATGAGAAGGTTTGTGATGACACATTAGTTGTAGACTGTGATTCTGCAAAATCGCAACCTATGAGTTTTGTGAAATCACAAATTGTAGACATTGCGATTTGCAAAATGACAACTCATAGACTTTGAGATTGTAAAATCACAAGTCACGAACTTTGCGATTTGGAAAATCACAAATTGCATATTGAAGAATTTTGTGAAATTTCAAAATCACTTCTGGTTTGAACTGCACATAAGGGAGTGTTTGGTTTGAAGGATCAAACATGAGCATTGATGTTTTAGGTTAATCCAACAGTCACGACTTGATCGGGTGTGATCAAGGGACAATATTTAAACATTAATGGTCATTAACTGTTAACTAACTGAGAAGAGGCACAAAGTTTGAAATCATGATTGTGCAAAGAAACTCTTCAAACCAACACATCCCTCTTCAAGATGACTCTTCAGATTTTATTTAAAGGGTGTAAACCAAGTTGATCCACATGCAAACTTTTTCAATCACTTCTCACTCTCTCTCTCAGTCTTATTTGCTACTATCTCACAAAAAGTTTATTTGGAGATTCTTCAATTTTACTAGTTGTAGTTTCTCACCAAGGTCTTGTTGTATCTTGGGCTGTGTTTGATTGCAATGCAAATTTATTTGCACTAATACAAAATGCATGGGAGTGCAAATGTAAAAAATGAAAATTCTTGTTTAATTTTGTTTTGGATTTTACTTCATTTGGCTTCATGTCTTAATTTACTTCATTTGTACTGCAATCAAACAAAATAAGATAAAATTTGAAATAACAATAAGTTAGAATTTACACTCAAATCATTCACATTGCCATGGTTTTGCATCAGTGCAAACTTATTTATATTACAACCAGACATAGCCTTAGGAACAAATTTGCCTGTAACCCTACAACAAACTTAGTGAAACTGAGTGGGGGCAAATAACTTTCTAAAGATAGTATCTTTTGATATGCCTTAGAACTTCTCCTCCAAGTTTTTGTAACCCTAATTTCCAACAGCAAGTATTGGAGGTAAATTTCTAAAGTTCATTAGTGAGCTTGTTTGGGCCTCCAATGGTCTTCTTGGATAGGTTGGAGTAGTTGAAGCTAAGGTTCAGACTTTGTTGGAGGTTCCAAGGTAAATTGTCACTTTAGGTGGATGGCCCGTGAAGATTCACTCACCTCTCCAATGAGTTCAGGAAAATCTTGTCCCAAGTAAATTATCACTTTAGGTGGATCCCTAGTGAATTGATTAATTTGGCAAATGCTTTAGGCTCAATTTGGAAAGATTACAAATACAAATGTATTTACAATACAAATACATACAAAATAATACAGAAAACAAGGTTTTGCACTCTACATATTTGTATTTGTACTCCTTCCAAACTGAGCCTTCATAAAATCTGGGGTGGGCAGGGACTGAACTTGTATGTTGTCATTTCATATGTGCAATTAGGTAAATGTGGCCAACAATGTATTGTAAGTGAGTCTTCATAAAACAAGGTTTTGCACTCCCATAGTTTTTATTGCAATCATACATTGGGAATATTTCCTTATTTATATATTATCATTCATGGGAAGATGTCTTCAATGCACAATTGGATATGATGTGAGGAGTAGATCTGAATTAAAATTTTTACATATATTATTGGATCCTACAGGATACAACACATCTACACCCCATAAAGGACGCGCCACAAACGCCCCACTTGCACATCCCTGAAGTTGCCGGTGAGAGATGTTCTCGATACACGGTTGGAATATGTAGGCGACCTCCGTGGGGCGCAGACGTGAATTCGGATCCATATCTAATTTGATTTAGACAGATTGGACTGAATTCGAATTTTTGAATTTGAAACTGCATAATATTCGAATTTGGAACTGCATAACGGGATACCATTTATTTCAGTATTTCTATGGTTGTAAACTTGTAAAGAGGTCATTGGGATCCGAAGTCCGGTCCAAAATCCGAACTCATAAAACAGATTCGTATTTGAAGTCTGACTAATTATACCTAAAATTATAAAATACTAAAATGTTTTAAAAAATCATTTAATTTCTTATAAATATACAATAAATTTATATTAATTTAAAATATTCAATTTAATGATTGTGAATTATATATAATACTTTTTTTTTGTTAGAAAATTATATATAATATTTAATGGA